TTACACTTTACAATTCTTAGTTTAACTCCAATTATATTATTTTAAAGGAAAATAACATTAGCTTAATGAAGTAGAATAGATATCACTTTGTTTTTGCAGTCCTAGTCACGCCTCCCTGCACGTGACTTACACAGCCTTCCTAAATGCTTCCTGTAAATGTCATCTAATGTTTACACTTCCTTTATTGCAAATTCTGTTTAATAATTTAGAATGTCTTATCTCTGTTTGTACTGACCTTGGAGCCATTTGTGGAGGTGATTGAGAGAAACCATATATAAATGACTTCAGCCATGTCTGGTCCACAGGATCTCAGCATGTGCAGACAATTTGCTTTTCTGCATGGAGCAGCCAGTGGTTTCACTCCCCAAAATTCTCTGTGAGATTCATACGTACAGAGTACTGAGCAATTCTGAGTTGAATTTGATGAATCAGAGGAGATGCATGTTTCAGACGCCACTCGGGGACGGAGCGCCTTCATGCCCAATTTCCATTTTGAGGGGACCCACACCCCAAGATACTTTAAGGTCAACTTTAAGTATCTTGGGGTGTGGGTTCCTTGGGACATGAAGGGCCTGTATCGGGTAAACTTTGCTGACCCGTTTTCAAATGGATTTGAAAGTTTGGATGACCCCACATCATGTTTTGGTCACATGGATTCTATTGGATTGAATTTGGCGCCTGTGCACATTACGGGTCTGCCGTGTTTTCAGGAATACTATCAGGCATCGCATGTGGCTTAAGTAGTGGAATGGTGCACCACAGACATGCAGAGGATCTGGCCCGCTTTGGAATGAGCAATGGCAAAGGAACGCATTCCAGTCATGGTATGGTTTGATGATGCTGCTACCAGAGAGGTGATGGCTACACTTGGGTAGAACATTGGCTTAAAAATAGAGTACAAAGAGTTGTCATTAATGGTACATTTTCAAGCTGGACAGAGGTGGCAAGTGGTATCCCTCAGGGTTCTGTTCTGGGACCCCTTCTATTTAACATACTTATAAATGATCTTGAAAAAAAGTATTTGAAAGTCATGTTTCAGTGTTTGCAGATGACACAAAACTCTGTAAAGTAATACAATGTGAGCAAGATATTACTTTGCTGCAGAGGGATTTAGATAGACTGGGGGACTGGGCACTCAAATGGCAGATTAAATTTTATGTTTAAAAATGCAAAGTTATGCACTTCGGCATAAAGAATGTACAAGCAACGTGTACCCTTAATGGAAGTGAATTAGGAATAACAAAACACACGAAAAGGACTTGGGAATTGGTATAGACAACAAACTATGCAACCACGTGCAATGTCAATCAGCAGTGGCTAAGGCCAGTATGGTATTGTCATGCATGAAAAAGGGCATTCATTCTCGGGATGAGAATATAATTTTTCCTCTTTATAAATCACTGTTAATACCACATCCACGTGCTGTGCAATTTTGGGCACCTGTTCTAAAGAAGGATTTTATGGCACTAGAAAAAGTGCAGAGGCGGGCTACAAAATTAATAAAAGGAATGGAACATATCAGCTATGAAGAAAGGTTAACAAATTTAAACCTCTTTAGTTTAGAAAAACGTTGTCTCGGAGGGGATATGATAACATTATACAAATATATCTGGGGGCCAATACAAACCATTGTGTGGAAATCTATTCACAAACCGGACTTTACATAGGACACGAAGTCATGCGTTTAGGCTGGAAGAAAGAAGATTTCTTCTCAGGCAAAGAAAATTTGTTTTTTTTACTGTAAGAACAAGATGTGGAATTCTCTGCTTGAAGAAGTGGTTTTATCAGAGTCCATACAGATGTACAGCAAAACAGCAACTAGATGAATGCTTGCAAAAACAGAATATTCAAGGATATAATTTTTCAATGTAGGGTAATAGCTTCTTGATGCAAGCATTAATCTGACTGCCATTCTGGCGTCAAGACGGATTTTTTTCCTAGTTTGTTGCAAAATTGGAAGTGTTTCAAACTGTTTTTTTTTGCCTTCTTTTGGATCAACAGCAAAAAAAAAAATGTGAGGAAGGCTGAACTTGACGAACGCAAGTCTCTTTTCAGCTATGTAACTATGTAACACAAACCTTTTTGGAAGCGGTGCTGAAGATGTGGCATCAGCTTCGATACAGATTGTCGCTTATGGCTCAGTTTGGCACAATGTTCCTTGTTCGTAGGAGACCCAGGTCCCTTTGCATGAATTGCTTCAGAATAGGCAACCCGCGACTATTGAGATATGCAGCTTAAACACTTTTTTCCTTGATTTCCAACCATAGGACCAAGCACGGGCAACTCACATCGTTGGGGGATATTTACGTTTGAGCAGGGCTGTTAATTGCCACAGGTAATTGTGTGTGCAGCACTCAATTTCAGTTCAGTAGGTTCAAAAGTGTGGTGCAAGATGCAGAGGAGATGTTATGGTGTACAAACTTGGTGTACCAAGATTTTCTTGTTCATGAAACAAAATAAGAATCAAAAAGGAATGAGTGGTTCACTGTAAAAGGTCAATCAGTTTTGATATCTTACAACAAATCTTGCGGGTGTTGACGGTCATTTGTTATTCTTCTTATGAGGTAGAACTGTTCAAGAAAGCATTTGGCCTTTTTTGTATCATTTCATATTAGTGAGCTGGTAGCAGCTACTAAGTTTCACATGTCCGAGCTCCAATTTGGAGATGTTTGTTTATTAAAAAATAAAGTGTACCGTTGGGTGAAGCAGTCAAAAACAGATACGGAGGTAGAGGAAGGTGGATTTATCTATATAGTTTGATGGGAATGAAGCTTGTCGTGTTAAAATTGTGCAGTTAACTTTCATTGAGAAATGCGTTGGATAGCCCCTTTTTGATACATTTTTTTTTTAACTAAGTATCTATGTAATAATGTTTTAGGAATAGTGTCAACAAAGTTTGGTCAGAATCATTCTGAATTTTCTGGTGTGGTTGTGGTGGATGAAGCAATTAAGACAATAGGAAGGTAGCGTTCCAAACGTTGATGTTATATGTGCATCTGTATTTATTGTTAGTATATTTTTTCGCATAACCATATATATTTTGCAGATACTAGAAAGATAATTTGGATTTTGTGCCATTTGTTTATAAAGTGGGCTAGGAAGAGAGCAGGGGGACCGCAGTTACGGCTAGAATTTAAGTTCTAATCTTAAAGATTTTGTTTTATAACGGAAAGGTGAAAGTTACTTTTTGAGGTGATGAATTAGATTTACAAGTGTTCGGTGGGTTAGAATGATATTGGATGTGTTAAATCTGTTATTTAAAAAATGTGTTTTATCTATTCAAGATATGTTTCCTAGCAATTAGTCGGCACAGATATAGTGTCTAGGTTAGTATGGCCGAACAGGCATGAATTCAATACCTCGGAGAAAAAAAAGAAGAAAGACTAAATTAGAAAGTTCAAGAAGGTTTTTGTTATTTGCATCAGATGTTAGAAAGTTGGGATTTGTATTTGTATTGTTTTGATAGGGTACATTTGTCTGAAATCAGTTGGAATATTTTTAATCTGAATATTGAAGATATAATCAATAAGGCCGCGGTGTTGTGGGTGTCCATGTTCAATGGGTGAGATTGCTATATACAGAATATGGTCTATACGTAAGAGAACATATGAGCCATTAGCATCTTATGCAGTGTAGTCAGGAAAAGGTTGGGGAAGGGTTAAAAACAGTGTTGCGGGGCAAATTAGGCATGTGCAGGTGTGAATTAAGAGAGGCTAGTGTTCTGATTGGCTGCAGGTAGTGTGAAGACACAGAAATGCAGCAAAATTTAAATATAAAAGGTAGCTTTCAGCTATAGTCCCATGTTTTTTAAATAATAAAATAATAATACAAATATGTAAAATAGTTTTCTTTTGTTTGTTTTTTTTCTTTTTGTCGTGGTGTTTTTCTTTTCAGCTGTAAGGTTTAATGAAAGAATATCTGGAAGATCTGTCTACTATAGGGCTGATTGGCTTTTATATGAGTTTTTATGATGGGTTTTATTTCAAAAAAACAAAAAAAACAAAAAACCACCAGGGCCATTTGTGAAGTTAAACTATTTACGATTGTCTGTGTTTTAATTTATAGAGTTTTGTTTCTATATATATATATTGATGGCGTACATTGCATATGTAACAAGTGACACCCTGTTATGTATAATATAACGAGGTTCCTTGACCTCTTCTAGTCCCGTGGAGTGGTCTCAGAGGATGGATTTGACATATCCTTCACACACAGAATGTTAAAGTCGAGATAGTACCATATACTTCCTTCACAGGACAATACTACTTTGCAATTGGCATTTCCTAAAATCAATAATTTGCCAGGGAGGGGGGTCAATCTAATTAATAATGCAGCATTAAAGGACAGAGGCAAAAGGTAGATATCCATCTGAAGTAGGACTACAACTCTAATGATGCCTTGCCAGCCTACCCTCTTTGCTATATCCAATAACTGGAGGGGAAATGAGTGATTCTGGCATTCCTCTTTAAAGGGGAAGAGAGAATGTTACTGCAATAGTTCCCATATACCAGATTGATATACTTGTTTGCATTGAACTGGTTCAGTAGAGTACCATACTCTAATAAATGATGCTATTAAGGTGTAAGAAGGCTGTGTGCCCCCATATAAAATATAGTATATCAGATCCCATGACTGCACTCCCCTCTGAATACACTCCCTGCACTATTAATAGAGTTGGCATGTATACAGTATCTCCTGTAATAAGCAAGCCATGGAAGTGTTAATGGTGAGAAGCTTTATTTCTCCCCATCCATCCCCACTTGCAGCTCCTCCTTTTGCTGCTACATGGTCCATTTTGCGCGCGCACGCGGAGCAGCTCCCACACCCCCCTCTGCCAGGCGCGCCCCCGTGTCCCCGGGCGCACGCTCTTTATGGCAGGTCGCAGCGCGTTCCCGACACCAGGAGTACCCATACCGGAGGAACACAATGGCAGCGGCGGGCACCGTGTGAGGAGGCAGTGGGTGGGGGAGAGTCACATCCGAAGGCCCCGGGGGAGGGATGCTCAGGAGACAGAGGCCGGCCAGCAGTGAATTATAGTGAGGTCCCCCCTGAGCTCGCCCTGCGCTCCATCACCCCCCCTCCTCCTGGGAGATGCAGAGAGCAGGCTGATGCACAAAGGGCTGGATGCAGCATCCTGCAGGAGGAGCAGAGACAGGGAGGAGCATCCACCTGCAGCAACCGGGGCTTCCAGCCCAGCTCTGTGTGCCACACTCACTGCTGCAGAGGGGGTGACACTCACTGAGCCAGCAAACCCAGGGCCCCCCACTGAGCCATCACACCCAGGGGCCACTCATTGAGACAACACATCCAAGGGTCACTCATTGAGTCAGCATACAAGGAGCTACTCACTGAGCCAGCATACAAGGGGCCACTCACTGAGCCAGCATACAAGGGGCCACTCACTGAGCCATTATACCCAGGGGCCACTCACTGAGCCATTATAACCAGGGGCCACTGAGCCAGGATACCAGAGACTACTGACTGATCCAGCACATCCAGGGGCCACTCACTGAGCCAACATACACAAGGGCCACTCTCTGAGCTAACACTGGAAGAGGACACTCACTACAAGTCCAACAGCACCCTGACAGCACAAGAGAGGACTCCCATTGCCCATGTAGAGTGCAGGAAGCTCACTCAGATAGAGATCCAGAGGAGAGGATACAGGAGCACCCATCCAACAGAGACAGAGGGCACTCATCCTCCTGCAGACTCCTTCACTCGGGCACCAAGGACCACCCCTTAGTCATGTGACACTGCCTTCTCCTAGGTAAGTAGTATTTCTATTACATCCTATAGATATGTAGTATGGGTGTGGGAGGAGGATGCCCATGCCAAGCTGTACATATTGCTGCTGAGGCCTTTTCATTCTTTTTTAGAATGTGCCCACACTCCAGGGTAGGGCATCATTGGATACAATAACCTGTCAAAGATCTGTTTCATAGGAAAAGTCACCACATCCTGGTTCTCTCTAGTCTGTTTTGTAACCAGCCATGTAATTGGTTATATGATGTGCACACCTTTACTGACATTGTAAGCCATAATCTGGGCATCATTCAGTGTAGGCCAATCTGCCCTTTAATAGGTTACAATTAAAATAATGTTTGTGTTTTTTTTTCCCCAAATGGGTGGTTACATTTTGTGAATGGCTTCCCCATCGATGCACGGTTTGTGACTCCATTTGCCCCCACCACCTCTATTTTATTTTCTATCCTCCTCTCTCCTTAAATGTAAAAGGCAAAGCAGTATGCCAACCTCGTGCACCTCCTATAATGCTAACCAATTGCTAATGTAACCTGTACCATTTTATCCCAGATCTCATCTGCTTGGAGTTGCTGATTTATACAAGACGTGCAATGTGCTTCTGAGTTCAAGCATTTATGTCAGGGTTAAAGAATAATATTGCACGTTTGTAAGAAACACACTTCTTTGCAAGCAGAATACAAAATACACACATATATGTATTTTTGCAAAAATATTTTTGTTAGAATGTGAATTTTCAATGGAAATTTGAGTTCTATAAAATCCTTTCACAAAGAAATCAATCACATGTTGAGATTTAAAATCTCTCTCTCTCTCTATATATATATATAAATGCATTTAGGGGTTTGTTCACTTTGACAAGAAATTGAAGATCTTCTAGCTAATCTTTTTCCATCTTGGTTATTCTGACCTATATTGTGCAATTTTGTTGAATTTTACACAATTTCAATTTCCTCGTTTAGTGAATAATCCCTTTGGTGTCCATATTTGAGATGTGACTCCAGCAATCTGCCCTGAATATGCATAGGCACGGACACGCATGTACTCACATCATGCTCGATGGCAGATTTTTGACTTGGGGCAAAGGATTGTGCCATCAATGTAATGCTCAGTTATGTAGTGTGAGTAGTTATAACTGGACAACGCAAAGGTTAACACACCTACGATGGCAAAACTTGATCTTATTTGCTATATGATTGCTTGAGGAGCAGTGTATTTGTATTTTGTATTATCTATCGATCGATCTATCTATTTCATACATAATATGGATAGCATTTTCTTTTTATAAATGATGGTGTTCCACATTTTTCAAACCTGATGTATTATTTATTATCTGACAGTCAGTCCTTCTATCTTTATAATAATACTGTATCATTATGAGTCCATAAATAACTTGACTGTATTCTTGACAAATGCATTGCTGGTTGTTTGCTAATAAATTAGGAAGAATAGCTTACATTGAAGGGGTGACATTAGAAATTCACAGCAATAATAATTTGTGCTCTATAGTAGTTCAGAGTATTTTTTTATGATGGTCTATATCTGTAGTAATTTACGAATACCCCATTGGTAGACTGACACAAACACTCATAGCTGGCCCCTATAGTAGTAAATGATCTATTTTTTTTTTCTTTTGTAAGGGCTTTAGTCATTATATAGGGCTTATCACTATATAGCACAGTATCACATTAATCAATTGAGTTATTTAACACACAAAATAGGTTAGATAATATATGCATGTAAATACACATCTACCTTTATAATTTGTGTTATAAATTGTGTTCTTGAAACTATATATGTATACTTTTTTTTCCATAATATGGTGCGCTGATCAATATGGTAAATGTTGCCATGCAGTATGTAATATTGTTTTTTTAATTTTATTTTACATTGATTAGTCATATATATTTTACACTGTGTTCCAATGACACTTTCTTATCCACTTTACCCTTAATTTATAGTAATGAATTCCTTTGGAGTAGTTGCAACCAATGCCATCGATTTATTGTTCAAAACAATAATAATATAGAAAACACACACACACAAACACACACACACACACACACACACTTTTGACATAAATGAAACATGGTCTAGTTCTAATTTACATATTAATGAGAGAATGGCAAATAACAGCCAAGTGAATGACTGCTTGGAATGGATATCAGTGAAAAATTTGGTTGCTAATACAATTACCCATCTGTGCCGGTAGAGATACACAATCTCTACTAGGGTACAGTTTCAAATTGCTGGCATTTGCAGATTAACCCTTTCTGCGAGGTGTTAATCCATTGCTGCTTAAAATAAGAATTGAAAAAAGAAATCTGTTATATTATGATCAGGGATTGTTAGTTAATTAATAGTGTTATTAATGATTAAGTAGTTATAACCTACTTTTTAGTCTTGTGGGAGAATATGTAAAGTAGTATGATTCTAGTTACCGGTAATTACATTTTTATAGTAAATCAAAAAGAAATGTTTTCAATGTGAAGAGTGCTTATTCTGCTCTAAAGTTATTTCTTTCAGAACCAGGTGGTGTTGTATATCGTTTATTGTTGAATGGGTAAGGCAGTGGCTGAGTGACAGGCAACAGAGGGTTGTAGTCAATGGAGTATATTCGAAGCTTGGACTTGTCACCAGTGGGTTACCTCAGGGATCTGTACTTGGACCCATTCTCTATAATATTTTTATTAGTGATATTTCAGAAGGTCTTGATGGTAAGGTATGTCTTTTTGCTGATGGTACTAAGATATGTAACAGGGTTGATGTTCCAGGAGGGATAAGCCAAATGGCAAATGATTTAAACTAGAAAAATGGTCAGAGTTGTGGCAACTGACATTTAATGTGGATAAGTGCAAGTTAATGCATCTTGGACGTAAAAACCCAAGGGCAGAGTACAGAATATTTGATAGAGTCCTAACCTCAACATCTGAGGAAAGGAATTTAGGGGTAATTATTTCTGATGACTTAAAGGTAGGCAGACAATGCAATAGAGCAGCAGAATGCATGGTTGACCAGGGAGAGGTATTAGCAGTAGAAAGAGGGAAGTGCTCATGCCATTGTACAGAACACCGATGAGACCTCACTTGGAGTATTGTACGCAGTACTGGAGACCGTATCTTCAGAAGGATATTGATACTTTAGAGAGAGTTCAGAGAAGGGCTACTAAACGGGTTCATGGATTGCAGGATAAATCTTACCAGGGAAGATTAAAGGATCTTAACATGTATAGCTTGGAGGAAAGACGAGACAGGAGGGATATGATAGAAACATTTAAATACATAAAGGGAATTAACACAGTAAAGGAGGAGACCATATTTAAAAGAAGAAAAACTACCACAATAAGAGGACATAGTCTTAAATAAGAGGTGCAAAGGTTTAAAAATAATATCAGGAATTATTACTTTACTGAGAGGGTAGTGGATGCATGGAATAGCCTTCCAGTTGAAGTGGTAGAGGTTAACACAGTAAAGGAGTTTAAAGGACCACTCTAGGCACCCAGACCACTTCAGCTTAATGAAGTGGTCTGGGTGCCTGGTCCAGCTAGGGTTAACCCATTTTTTAATAAACATAGCAGTTTCAGAGAAACTGCTATGTTTATCAATGGGTTAAGCCTTTCTCTAGTGGCTGTCTCATTGACAGCCACTAGAGGCGCTTGCGTGCTTCTCACTGTGATTTTCACAGTGAGAGCACGCCAGTCCATAGGAAAGCATTGTAAATGCTTTCCTATGAGACCGGCTGAATGCGCGCGCAGCTCTTGCCGCGCGTGCGCATTCAGCCGGCGGGGTGTAACGGAGGAGGAGAGGAGGCAGAGAGCTCTCCGCCCAGCGCTGGAAAAAGGTAAGTTTTTACCCCTTTCCCCCTTCCAGAGCCGGGCGGGAGGGGGTCCCTGAGGGTGGGGGCACCCTCAGGGCACTATAGTGCCAGGAAAACAAGTATGTTTTCCTGGCACTATAGTGGTCCTTTAAGCATGCGTGGGATAGGCATAAGGCCATCCTAACTATAAGATAAGGCTAATTAAAAGTATTTTGAAATATTGGGCAGACTAGATGGGCCAAATGGTTCTTATAAGCCGTCACATTCTGTTTCCATGTTTTTAGTCAGGATTATTTAATAAGCTCTAAATTTGCATCTGCATTGAAAATTTCTAAATTAATAACTGAACCGACTGAAAAATCTATTTTTAGTATTTACAGAAAGCCATGCCAATGTACTTTGATTACATGTTGATTTTATGAGCCTAAGATTCCCCTGTCAATTCTCCATAATTCTCTTCTAAGTGAGTAAACCCCAGAGTATGTACCTGCCCAGTCCAGTTACAGAATTGAACCACGATCCCGTGGTCCATCTATGACATTTATTAATGAAATTCTAGGAAATACCTCTTTGGGCCTAACAGCAGGGATCAAAATTTCTAATTTCAATTCGCTGTTGGTGAGTGAAAATACAGCCCTGATGTGTAGGAATTCATCCTTGGTTAGTGTGCCACAGATCCTTCAGGCTTGCCATGGCAAATAACTGTTGCAACCTGGCTAATAGCTCAGGACTTAAACATTTGAGCCTTCACTAAAAATAAAATTAGTAACATCTATAATATTTATCCCATAATGCTTTACATGAGAGGACAGGAAAGAGCCCCTTGGTGTAGATTGGGGAAGGAGTGGATGGGCAGCTGTATAGCCACATACTGAGTGTTATTAACCATTACACCCACATGCTGTGAGTGAAGAGTGGATCTATCCCCCTTTTGGTTAGTAGCTGGTCCTTGGGATCCATGAACAATTTTTATATTGAAACAGTCTAAGAGGTTCTGTCAGGCTGAGATTTCCTATGAGAATAGATGTGTATAGGGCAGACACAAATCTTTACAGTAGCTGTGGTTGAATAATGTCAATGAAACAACACAGAAGAAAATGTTTTAAAGGGACACTGCTAAAATGGTTTGATTACAAAGTAGGGAATGGCACACACAGGCACAGCCATAATGCTACACTAATGTGTCACTCACTCTCTGTTCCATACCTCTACTTCACATTTGGGAACACTTCCTAAAGCAGGTTGCACATGACTTCAACATGCAGACTTCATTGTTATTGCATCGGTGTAGTAACAGAATAGTCATATATTCCTCTGGCAGAGTGCAAGACATGTACTACAAGGAGTGATTTCAGCAACTACAATGTATGTGCTGTAGTTGTTATGAAGGTGAGCCACCTGTAGGAAAGTTCTGCTGCTTTTTTTCTGTCACACAATGCCTGGCATATGCAGATAATTGATTGGCAGGTAGGATATTTTTAAAAACACTTTTTGTAATATATATATGTGCCAGTATTTTCTATTAGTACAATGATTATATTAAAGGGACACTATAGTCACCAGAACAACTACAGATTATTGAATTTGTTCTGGTGAGTAGAATCATTACCTTCAGGCTTTTTGCTGTAAACACTGTCTTTTCAGAGAAAATGCAGTGTTTACATTACATCCTAGTGATAACTTCCCTGGCTACTCTTCAGATGGCTACTAGAGCTGCTTCCTATATCAGTCTTGCCTAGTTTGCATCAGAACATTCAGTATCTCCTCCCTCTGCATGCAGACACTGAACTTTCCTCATAGAGATTCATTGATTCAATTTATCTCTATGAGGAGATGCTGATCGGTCAGAGCTGTGTTTGAATTGTGCTGTCTCTGGCCCTGATCTGCCTCTTTGTCAGTCTCAGCCAATCCTATGGGGAAGCACTGTGATTGGCTCAGGCTACCACTTCTGCTGATGTCAGCAGGCAGTGGGGCAGGTCTGAAGGAAACAGGGACACAGCCAGTAGCTTCAGGCTTGGATACAAGTAAGATTTTACTATATTTAGGGAGGCATGAGGGGACCAGGGTGGCTAGATGGTGTTTTTAACCCCATAGAGTCAGGAATACATGTTTGTGTTCCTGACCCTGTAGTGCTCCTTTAAAATGCATTCTCTTTTTTATTTTCTGTACTTGTATTACAAAATGCATGCTATGAACATGAAAATTGCATAATAAAATAAATAAATAAATGAACAATTCATAAAGCATTCTCTTTAATTTAATAATTAAAGGATCACTATAGGGTCAGGAACACAAACATGCTTTCCAGAGCCTATAGTGTTAAAACCACCATCTAGCCCCCCCTGGACCCCTCATGCCTTCATAAATATAGTAAAAATCTTACTGTATTCAAGCCTGAAGCTGTAACTCTGCATGCTGTTAGACTCAGAAAAACAAACAGTCTGCTGACATCATCAGAAGTGGTAGCCTGATCCAATCACAATGCCTCCCCATAGGATTGGCTGAGACTGACAAAGAGGCAGATCAGGGGCAGAGCCAGCATGATTCAAACACAGCCCTGGCCAATCAGCATCTCCTCATAGAGATGAATTGAATCAATGAATTTCTATGAGGAAAGTTCAGTGTCTGCATGCAGAGGGAGGAGACACTGAATGTTTGGATGCATTTTAGGCAGCCACGACCCAGGAAGGATCTCCAACAGCCATCTGAGGAGTGGCCAGTGAAGTTATCACTAGGCTGTAATGTAAACTCTGCATTTTCTCTGAAAAGACAGTGTTTACAGCCAAAAGCCTGAAGTGTTACTTCCACATTGCACCTAACATGTATAGGTATTTGAAGTGTCACTACAATAATTCGGCTATCCAATATCCAATAGCTGCATAGATGATTAGGAAATTCAGATAATAACTGTCTTGTGAGGGCAAAGACTCAGCGGAGGATATATAAAAGTCAGTAAAGTACAAGAGTGACAATGGATGAAAGGAGTGAGATTTTTTCTTGACGTTTCAGTTAAAGTCACTCTGTAGACACCATAACCACTACAGTTGATGCTCTCAGTTAATAAATATTGTTTAAACCTGGTATGTGAAAGTATGAAATTTAGCTTTATTGGACCAACTCAGATACAAAGGACAGCAGGTGTCCAATACCAATACCATTTGTAAATAGTTTGACTGATTACTAGGGTGGACTATGTCTGTAACCATTACTGCATGCTGCATACCTCCCATATTTTAGAGGGCTTGTCAGTGATGCAGCTTCCGTCACTGGTGACACCCACAATTGGTTGGCCCGCCAATTAAAAGGGGCATGTCAGCTTGGCGCCAAGCACTCAAGGCTGACATACAGCCTTATGGCTGTTTCCCTAACTAGCAAGACCATGCAGAGAGCATTGCTGAAGCTCTTTCTGCATTGTCATAGTGTCTGCTACACAGCATTAATATGTCTAGAGATGCACTCGCTATGCTGCCCGAGCGAGAACAGTTCCCTGGTGTCCCAGTATGGAGGACACCTGAGATGTAATCGGGACAGCGGGACAATACCTCAAAATTAGAATTGTCCTGCCAAAAGTGCGCCTTGTGGGAGATCTGTGCTGTAGTGATTACAGCACCAGAAGTGTCCCTTTAAGGCTTGTTGCAATATTGCTAAACAGTTTGCTAAGGGGATGGCCAAAAGGTAGATCCCTACCAAAAGCAGATCCTTTGCCACCCAGCCAGTGTACTTCTGATAGGTAGTCGAAATATTTCACTTTCTACAATATTTGAAAACCCCAAGCCTCAGAGTGCCTATACTAAAATATTATTAACCCACACTGTCTTAATGCATTTGTGTACAGCTCTTATGGCAGATGAGGTGTTAATACATTTTCTTCATACATACTCTAAAGGGACAAATAGCTTTCTACTTTGACGTGGCTAATGGATTCTTGCTGATAAATAGCCCTCAGAGTGTGTTTCAGTTAACTGTATTACATTGCCGTGTCCTTGCCAGCATCAATGGCAATAAGGCACATTGGCAAGTGTTAAAGGTAGACATATAGACATCTGATCGATTTTCCTCCTTGGGGATATCCAGCATTGTGAATGGATTGATTTTGAAATGTTTCAAAAATTAACCCTTTACCATGGTGATCACTGCAACTACATAATTAATACCTGTTCTTATGGATGCTTAAAATCTGCACAACAAATATTAAAGTGCTTATGTGGAATACAGGGTATCAGGTAGGAAGATTACCTACTTGCTTTAAAGAACATGCCAAGCACCATAAGCACTAGAGGTTGCTGTAGTAGTTATGGTTTCAGGAGTGCCCTGGCGCCCCCAGCGTATGGAGTCAAACATAGCGCCAGCTGTAGGACTTAGCTCCATTGTTACCGTGGAGGCAAGGAGTCGTTCACAGGGGAACCCTGTGAAGTCACACTGATCAACTGTCGTAGGGTTCACCAGGGCACTCCAGGAACCATAACTACTACAGCAGATAAGACAAATCAAGGTGCTAATAAAATAGCAGATGCATCTGATGTATTGAACAGAACAAAGGTACAGTGAACAGTATGACTGAATTTAATTGTTGATTATTTTTTGGCAACATTCAACACCATATTGCATATTTAAATATACTGCACCAAGCATTATGCTAAATCATCTTGATATGTGCTAAGACCCTGTTTTTTTTTTTTAAGTTGATGGGAGTGATTTTCATATTTTTGTTTTGATCTTCCACCTGAATTAGTATTTGTCCCAGTAGTTATTTCAAATGTTGCAAGTGGTGTCTTAAAATGTATAAGTAGTAACAGCATTTAATAGGGAGAGTAAAGTATTGCATTTAAATGGCTTTCAGGAAGGAGGGTCACCTTGTCTTGTTTGCAAAATACCTATGAATGGTGTAAATGGCTACCTTAAATCATATGTTAAATGTATTGACCAATAGAGGGAGAGTGTAATACAGAGGACAGCGTGGTAGAATGGCGAGTAATATTCACAGAGTTAATAGCGAAAAAGGTAGAAAGTGACATTGAGGGAGAGGGACAGGTTGTGTGACATCGTTAGTCAATACTGTCTAACACTGACATTGGGAGACTGATACGGAGGCTAGAAGAAAAAGTGAATCGGGAAGGAAAAGAAAGTGAGATTGCCAGTAAATGTGAAATAGAGAGTTAGAGAGAATGTGACTAAGGAAAACAGCATATCAGTGAATTCTAGCAAAAATTAGAAAATTGTCAGTCTCTTGTAATCATTATGGCAAGGTGTTGGGTCTTTCGTGATGTAGTCTGCATCCTAAGATTGGTGGAGCTAGATACTGGTATGGGTGTAGAGTGGCTGGAACTGTTAACAGTCATTGCACATGGCCAACATTATAACTGGTTTATTTGATTTCTCATTCTCAAAATTATACGGGAATGTTATTTAAAATCTAGCAACTTTGAATTCTGCCATGATGAGTGCTTTGATTCCTCCACATTAAAAAATGTTGCAGTAGTAAATAAAAGTCTGCTTGCCAATGGGTTAATTGGTCATGTTTTAAATGCATACCTTTATATATCTTTACTTGTGTGCTCTTGGGTGAGTCAGTGTTACTGTTCTTTTTTTCTCTAATGAGACATAGATGTTCTAAAACGCTTTATAGACCAGCACTTTGCACCATTTTAAAATGCTGTAACCCCCCCCACCGCCCTTTACTTCTATACCGCTTGAGGCTATTTAGTACATGCTGGTTCCCCTTGCAGTACAGCTTATTTTTGGATTACAATAACACTATCGAAGCATTTTCTCTGATTTACATGAAATTTGGCCTGCACAGTGAGAACCTGCGCGTCTCTTGATGTGCCAAGTTTTATGCTGATTGGTTGTGTGGTTGCGAAGATACGGAAAGCTAAAATGACTTTTTTTGTGCTATTTTTTGGCAGTTTCTTGCCGAAGCAGTTGGGGATTTCATTATGAATGCTCAGAGTAATATTCTTCTGTTTTTAAATAAAGGAAAACAATTAGCATACATATTTTGGTATATGCATTTTTGGATTCATTTTTACCAACTCCTTTTAAAATATTTTTTGGAAGTAAAAAGTGACATATCTTTTTTAATCACTTTATTTAAACCACACAGTTACAGACTAAATATTACACTAACTTATTAAAGTTAGCACTCTGGGTTGCAGTATACAGTATGTGTTATAGTATTTCATGAGTGTTTGCTAGTATTTTCGACTCACATGTATGAAATGTAGGGCATTTGTCACTAAATAAAAGACAACTTAGGCAGGAAAGGAAACTGTTCTGTTAAAGTGACACTATTGCCACTATAACAATTTCATTGTTTAACACTAAATAAGGCATCCTGGCCACCCACAGTCCGGCCTCTTTTGGAGGTGTGACTAAGGCAGAGATTACACACTTCCTTGTAGTCATACCATGTAGTCAGTTGGAGCTCTGATAGGCTAAAAGCAGTCAGCTGACACTCCCAACCAAACACAGCTGCCAATTGCTGCTAATACTTCCTCATTTAGCTAAAGCAGTACAGAGGATATGGGCTGCTGAGAACTCTCATTTAGGATTAAAACATAAAAACATTAAAAACTGTTTAATGCTGAATTAATTTATGGCACTAGGGAATTTCAGACATTATAACCTGTTTAATGAGGTTAAATATAAAATACAGTGCCTGCAGTGTCCCTTTAATATAGCTCACTACAACACACTAAGTAATGAATAAAGTGATAAATGATACAAAATGTTGTGTGGTATTGTAAAATAATAGCACTCCAAATGTTTGTGAAGTTAATAGTTTAGGACTGGCTAAGTATCATGGGAATTTTAGTTCCAATATAAGCAGGACCAGGATAGCCATCAGTGGTATACAGAATAGCATAAGTACTTTTAGTAAACTCATTAATCATTTCACATGGATTCCCATTGTAAAAGCTTTTTAAATGGCTGAGATTTCCATATTAAATGTATCTGTTGTTACACCAGGACTGGTAAATACTACATTTGTCCTGGAAGTCTTTCATAGGTTGCAGATATAGGTTGCTGATACGCACATTTTCTTTTTTAAATTAACTTAATTTTATTCATACAGGGTTTTTTTTTTTATTTTTTTATTATTTACTGCAGGGGTAGACAACGTTTGGCATTCTAGATGTTGTGGACTACATCTCCCCTGATGCTTTGCCAGCATTATGCCTGTTAGAGTATTATGGGGCATGTAGTTCACAACATCTGGAATGCTAATGTTGCCTACCTCTGATTTAGAATATTAGACTCTCACAATGTTTGAGCTAGATGGTATGGCATATTCACTTAGTATTGCAGATATGAGCAGTTCTCAGCAACGGGAGCTTTCTTACACATGAATTAGTTTATTGATGCAAGCTGCATCCACTCCTTCCACCCTATCATTGCTGCTAAAACTTGGAAGGAAATTGGGGAAGTGAAATTCCTCATTATCTCAGCAGCAGCAGAGGGGCGGGCGTGGATGCCATGGAAAACCCTGGCTTCCGTCAAACCAATTTAAAATGGTTTCACAAAACATGGAGTGGATGCA